CAGGGTTGACCCTGGGGGTATTTATGGGACTATGCTGAGATATTTACTCCTTGGTTATGGACAGTTGAGAAATTCTTTAACACAACAACAAACTCCACCAGATTCCTAGGAACTGAAGGCAAAAAAGAGGCCCAAGAATCAATCCAATTCCACTGTAACACCTGTTTCAAGTATCAGTTAGAAAGTACCATTTGGGGAAAATGTTACGCATGGACTCGGCGAGTTGGGAGTCCAACTCGTCAAGTAGGGTCGTGTATCTTGGATGCGGATCCGAAGTGACTCGGCGACTTGGAAGGCTCGACTCGGCGAGTCTGAGCTGTTTAATGAAAACCCTAATTCTGGAGTTTGCTCCCTATATAAACATCATTATAAACCCTAGTAGCCTCCCTTAACGCCATAGAAGGCCGTTTACGGCCGCAAACTCGCTGAAGTATGAAGTGGGAGCATTTAGGACCTTATCTTTGGGATTTTGGGTAGATTTCCAAGCCTTAAGAGGAAGTATCAAGGGAGAATCACTAGATCAGGCATCCATTTCGTGTTGGGCATCTGTTTGAGGTATTGATCTGTTCTTTCAGCTGAAGTTTCTTAGATTTCTTTTTGGAAAATTATGGCCATCCTTGAAGGAAGTGGAAGCAAGCTTGGATCTGGACATATCATAAGGATATGGTTCCAGATCTGGACCTTCTTAGGTCCCAAGTATCATAAAGTTGTATCTTTATTTAATATTATCCCCTATCCATGTATGAAAACCTTATTTGAGGGTTAGTTTTGTTGTTATGGCCATGTGAGGCCTTGTATGCTTGTAAAGTTTGCAACTTTACGTGTTATCTTCACTAGTAGAAGATAGATCTGAAGTTTGGGACCTTAAGTCCCACTGGAGAGGACCATAATCATGATGAACTTTGGGGGACTCGACGAGTCGTGCAAGTGACTCGGCGAGTCGAGAGGGTTTTCTCGTTTACGACCAATGGTGTACGGCCAAGGGTTTACGGTCAAAGGTGTACGGTTGGTGGTTTACGACCGTAAACACCAGGGAACTCGATGAGTCCCTCGGGTGACTCGGCGAGTCGACGAGTTAAGTAGGGAACCCGACAAGTGAATGATTGTACTCGGCGAGTCAAGGTCAATATGGACTGTTGACCTTGACTATAGACTTTGACTTTGACCAGGGTTGACCCTGGGGGTATTTATAGGACTATGCTGAGATATTTACTCCTTGGTTATGGACAGTTGAGAAGGAGTAGCATGTGGGATATGTCTGATTTCAGCTTATCAGTTCTGCAGTGCGAGGTGAGTCTTCTCACCATACCAATGGGTCTAAGGCACTAAGGCAGGCCCATTATATGATAGTTGGTATATTTGCTATGTAGAGGTGTGTGATATGTATGTATGCGTGATATGCGGTAGAGATAGCCTTTGTGGCTAATGGTAGAGATAGCCTTTATGGCTGATGGTAGAGACAACCTTGTGGCTAATGGTAGAGACAGCCTTTTATGGCTGATGGTAGAGATAGCCTTGTGGATAATGGTAGAGACAGCCTTTATGGATAACGGTAGAGATAGCTTGTATAGCTAATTGATATGTGCCAATGGTAGAAATAGCTTTTATAGTTATTTGATATGTGATATGTGGCAGAAGTAGCTTTTATAGCTAATTGGTATGCGCTAATGGTAGAGAGAGCTTTTATAGCTATTTGATATGTGATACGTGGTAGAGTAGCTTCTATAGCTGATTGATATGTGATAACGGTAGAGATAGCTTTTTACAGCTAATACGATATGTGATATGTGGATTGTGTGTGGATTGTGTGTGGGGTATGCTCTGGGGGACTCACTAAGTTTTGTGCTTACGGTTTACAGTTTTGGTTTCAGGTTTCATCGATTTGGAAATGAAGGGTTCAGATTGATCGCAGTGCACACACCTATGATTTCCGCAATGAATGGTTTTGGGACGAACTCTGATGATTATTTTACTTAATGATGATTTGGAATGTTTGAAATAAATGGTATCAATGTTTTAGATATAATAAAAATGAAATTTTACCTTTGATTTTTGGGTCGTTACATCCACACCACAGTAGCATAGTCGCAGTTGAAAAACACATGATCAATGACCTCCTCCTCCTAATTACCGAAACAACAGGTGGAGGAGTTCACGGGAATACCTTTACGAACTAAACTCACTAATAGTATAATTTTATGTATCAACAACCTCTGACCAAAGCAACTGACTTTGACAAGAACCCATCTAATCCAAGAGAAATCAGAATATAATTCCACTTCATTAAGCTCCGGCATGATGGTCCTAAGGAAACTGACCAAAAACTCTCTCGAGTTATCTCCCAACCATCTCTGTTTGTCACCGACACTTGAAAAAGTAAAATTAACAACCAAATTTAAAAGATCTTCCAATTGTCGAGTTTCTCGACCCTTACTTTTTTCATGTTGGTAACAATTAAATAAGCGACGATTCAATGATACTTCATATGTTGGTATTGTTGTTCTTGTTTCTATTGCTGATTGTTGTTGTTGTTGTTGTTGTTGCTGTTGTGAAAGCACTTATATGAAATCTTTTGCTGTAACACTTTATAAACAATCAACACCAAAGATGTGTTTAAAACAATTATGTGTAAATTTTGTATGTGGTTTCATACCACACTAATATATGTCCCTATTATGCTAAAAAATTGGTCATTCATTTTTGTGCCATATCTTTAAATGGTCGATATTGGATATGTTTTCTTACAAAAGTACCTATAAATGAACCATAATGTTTTTCCAAAAAAAAAAAAATACCAGTGCACCAACAACAAAAACATTTCCATTACACTAAACGCATTTCTATTGCACCAAAGACATTTCCATTACAACAAAATACAATTACAACCACCAAGCTATCATCATAAGACCAACTGCTACAACATTCACAAATTTAAGAAAATAAAAACAAAACTTTAAAACCTAAGTACTTATGAACAATAACTTGTACAACGAAACTAGCATCATAACACCAAGTGCTACTTCAAGCCTATTTATTCCCCTCAATAACCCAAGAGTGATTTCCATGGATCTATGACACATTGGTAGGTTAACCCATCTAATGAATGTGCACTATGATCTAGATTTCGAGTAGGTCCAAAACCTTCGACATGGGTTGTTGTCGGTCCACGATGTCAAAATTATAGCGCCTCGACTGTAGAAGCAAATGACAATCGTCATTTTTTTGTGTTCTTGAAAGGAAGATTTTTTCGTAACTTTTAGAGAAGAAAGATAGAGTTGGAGAACAAAGAGAGATGTGGAATAGAAAGTACGGTATTATATAGGCTTTAAATAAGTGAAATGAACTAACCTCATTAATGAACGATTACCCTTACATGTTGTGCGTGTGAGGGACATTTGACGATAATTTATTGACGCCGACTGACGGAGGGACCTTTTATGTAATATCAAAAAAAACACAAGGACTGACTTTGTCCATTTTCTTGAAGTTGGACTATATGTGCCTATTTCGCCATACTATAGGGACCATTTATGTATTTGTCTTATTTATATTGAAAATTTAGACAAAACTGCAAAAATGGTCCTAATGATATGTATTTTTATTTTAGGAAAAAGATCCAAACCCTTAAAAAATTGGATTGGTGGACTTTGTGAGCTTATTTGTATGTGGATATGGTCACTTCCAAAATTGAAATGATTGTTATAACCTTTTATTTTTATTTTTACATTTTTAATATTTATTTTTATATATAATAATTAAAAAATAAAATAAAAGACGACCCACAATATATGTACCCACCTCCCCCCCCCCCCCCCCCCCCCACTGTTAATTACCTTCCACTCTACTTATCTCAAACTCCTCTCCAAACATGTCCTTGATCTTCCAATTTACCCAAATCCTAACCCGAATTTCAATCCATTATAACTCCCAAGTCTCAGTTTTAAACGCTTTCATCTCTATCATCGTCATCATCGCCTTCTTCATCAAGGTTTACCCCTCCAAAACCCTTAAAATTCCCATCAAAACCCTCTTTTCACAAACCTCCAATCCTCGTCCTCCAGAAAAACCCTTAACCTTCGTCTCAATTCTTCGAGCGAATCCCGATTAGGCAGATGCCATTAAAGAGAGGCGTATGAAATAGAGTAAACTGCTTTACAAACACGACGACTGCGTTTACGTTAGTAGAGACGGTTGTAGCTAGTTACAACACAATGTTTATCTGGCACTGTTGCCAGAGATTTTTGTCCTTATAGCTTCTTCTTTTCAGTACGGAATGACTGCACCAACGTTGGCGTTTTTGTTGGTTTTCAGAACAAAGCTTCGTATTCGAGGTTTGGGGAAGGGAGGAAGGCTTGGAGTAAGGTGACTCATGGGACAAATGACTTCGTTAGACAAATAATTGTTAGAGTGGTGAAAGATTCCTTTTTGAAGACTATTTTTATAGTGTATTATGGTGTTTCAAGGGGCTTTACCGACAATGAAAGAGTGGAGGTTGTAAAGGAGTAACTATGTTTTAATCTTAGTGCTTTTTTTTTATTTTTTATTTTTTTTTGAGGAGGGAAAGAAAGAGATTATATTTAATAAAACTTTATAAATAGAAAAAGACATTAAAAAATATCCTGATAACAATTTAGTTTTTCAAGGGAGAATCCAAATTTTCTAACATTTATACATGGAAAACATAGTAAACCGTAAGGTCTATTTTTACAGTTTTGTCAAACATTTATAAACGAGTAAAAACTATAATGGGGCGGGTAAATGGGGGGAGGAAACCGGTTTGTTTCCACCTTTGAGAATTTCGGGTAGGGTATCGTACGGACTACACCGTGGGCGGTGGCCGGTGGTGTAAATTCACAAATACATGGCGGATAGTTCCATTGTTTTAACTGAACTCCATAGAAAGTCAACCAGCTGGGCTAAGGTAGTCGATGAAATAGTAAGACTAGAGAAGAAGATTTTCCCCAAGCACGAATCACTCGCTCGATCGTTCGATGATGAACTCAAGAAGAAGAACAGCGGTTTAATCTACTTGGAAATTAATGGCGACCTTGCTGGCTATGTCATGTATTCATGTCCTTCTTCACTTTGTGCCATTATCACTAAACTCGCAGGTATCATTCGAAATTCCCATTTTTTTCATCATCTACCTTACGTCTCTGCATCCAAATCGATTGTTTTTATAACATATATAGACATCAACATGTGGATATGCTTTGCATAGATTAGGGGGAATTTGAAATTGATATGGGTGTTGCATAGCTTGTTGAGTTTTTTAACCGATCTTATCAAAAAAAATTTTCAAGAAACAATTTTTATGAAAAGTTTAACCATGGAAGAAGGGGAATGGAAAAGTTCATGAAATTAGATAATGTTATAATCCTTTATCAAAGTAAAAGCAAACTTGGATAAGCTATTTGAGTGTCAGAATTGCTAATATTATTCAAACCAAAAGATTTTTTCAAGAAACAGTTAGTATACTTGTTTTCAAATTAGCCGAATTGTCTGTAGGATTTTAGACTACTCATAATCAGTAAAAATCCATAGTTCTTTAAGGCCACTTTTGTTACAAATGGCATGACTTGACATGACATGACGGTTTTCTACTGAGTTTGGTATGCATTGTACTGCGTTTGGTGCGCACTGACAAATGTCATTGGGACAAAATTTGAAAATTTGATCTCTCGTTTGTGCAAAAAGACGTAAATGACCTCCTCGTCCTTATCTATAACGTGTGTTGTGTTTGTTAGACGAGAGAGGATTCGATTAGAAAGGACGAGAGTACGAGACTAAACAATTTTTCTATGCCTATTTCCGATGATGAGGATAAGGAAGGCATTCACTTCTTTTGCACATATGAGAGTTTCAAAGTAAGTCATTTTTCCACCTTTTTGGGTGGGACAAAAGATTACAATCTTTGTCGTACCGACATCGGTCCTAGTTAAACGTACAGTAGAAGTTCTACTGTCATGTCATGTCATGCAGTGCGTATACGGATGCATGACATGACAGGTTGTACTGTGTATTGCTTTGTTTTACCTAAATTTATGACATTTCGAATTTTGATTTTTTTTTTTCAATTTTTTGTTTTATTTACCGATAAAAACTAGTGAAGGAGAATTATAGGAGACAAGGGCATGGAGATGCACTATTGAAAGAAGCAATAGAGAAATGCAGAAGTAAACGTATACACCGTGTATCACTTCATGTGGATCCATTAAGAACTCCAGCAATGCATCTTTACAAGAAACTCGGTTTCCAAATCGATACTTTGGTGAAGGCTTATTATTCTTCTGATCGAGATGCATATAGGATGTACTTAGATTTCGATAAAGAGTAGCCACATGAGTTCAAGAAATAGCAACCTGCTTTCATTTAATTTTGTATTATTATTATTATAGCATTCTACTTTCATTTCTCTCTACTACAACATTGTACTTTCAAAATTTTATTTTCTTTTTTATTTCCTTATTAAAGCATTGTACTATCCCAATTATAACATTGTACTTTGATTTTTTTTCTTATAAAGAAACATAATCAATGAAAGTGTATTGTTATTTTGTTGCATTTACTTCTTTTATTTATCCAAATACAAATTTTTGAAGATTTTTGTAGTTGCAGATTTTTTATGATTTAATGATAGGAGTTAACTGTTAAGTACAATATTGCACAAATATTACCAAATCTTTACTTAATAGTACTTTTCATCTTTTTTTATTTGTTTTATTTTGTTTTGTCTTTTTTTTTAATCTTTAGGGAAAATGAAACCACCTGTTTGGTTTTTGCGATAGGAAACCGGAAGCCCACAACCATGAAGCCCGATGTATATGCAAGTAGTGGGCTGAAGAGACTGGGCCTAATATTACTTCAGTTGTGTTTCAAATGCTTCATATTTCCAAATTCGAAATGCGCCTCAAACCCAAATGGGACTCCGCACTCTCCCAATAAATATTCAAGAGCAACATTAATGTTTTTATATTTCTTTGATGAAAATTTGTCCAAGTCACAAAAGATGTGTACAAACAAATTACCTATACGATAGATTTTAGTTACATAATTTGTCTGTTTGTTTGGTTGTCATTATTTTTGCAATGTATGAACTTAGTTTGTTACAAATAGATAAAAATACATGGATTTTACTTTTAACAAATTATATCATTATAAAATTCTCATCATTACAATCAAATATATTATGGAGATCGTTTTATTTTTATCTACATAATGAGACAAATCTGTCTCAATCTGGTGTACAACAAAGATGGTATATTTCCGGTTTAAAAAACAAGCATTACTCATTGCGAATCAAGAATTTTGCATGTTCAACTCATTCATATCAAAAATTGAACCAAAAACAGTAAAAACTGCACTTGTCATTCTGATTGGGTAGAAACAATGCAAGTAGAAATGAATGAAATTTAAAGAAACAAAGTTTGGTGATTAATTCCAACACCTCCAAATGCTTCTGTCGTCGGCTTAAAGTGGATTTTTTGCAACAAACTTGATAAAGAAGACAATATTGTTCGCAACAAAGCATGTCTTGTTGTGAAAGGTTATTGTCAAGAATAAGACATTGACTACAAAGAGACATTCACACCAGTGACCAGATTGGAATCAGTTTGCATTTTTCTGGCATATGCTGCTTAATTTTTTTTGAAGTATTTCAAATGGATGTGAAGTGTGAATTTCTCAATGGTGAATTGGAAGAAATAGTCTATTGTGAACAACGATCAAGTTTTATCAATGAAAAGTATCCTGATCAGTGGTATATACTTGAAAAAGCAGTGTATGGATTGAAACAAGCTCCTCGTGCATGACATGAAACTCTAACTTGTTTTCTTAAACAGTCTAAGTTTAAACAAGGTTCTGTTGAACCCACTTTCTTTTGAAAAAAGGAAAGTGAACATTTGATAATTGTCCAAATTTATGTTGATGATATTATTTTCGGATCAACAAATTCTCAACTTACAGCTGATTTCCGAAAAGTAATGGAAACTAAATTTGAGATGAGCTTTATATGTCCAATTAACTTCTTTATTGAATTGAATATAAGACAAAGCAAAGAGGGGATTTTCATAAACATAAGGCGTTTACAAAGGTATTGCTTACAAATTTCGGTATAACTGATGAGTCAAAGGTCAAGACTTCGATGATGTTTGGAACGAAACTCACTCCGTCGCTTGATAAGCCTGTTGTTGATCTTACTTTATATCGACAAATGATTGATTCTCTACTTTACTTAAAGCCAAATAGGCCTGACATTATGTATGTTGTTTGCTGTTGTGCCAGATATCAAGCAAATCCAAGGGAACAACACATGACAACAGTGAAGAACATTTTCATATATCTACGAAGAACAACATCTTCGGGTTTATGGTATCCAACTAACACTAGGTTCTTTGTGCAAGCCTATTCGGATGTTGATCTTAGAGGATGTGATCTTGATAGGAAAAGTACTATAGGTGGTTGTAGATTCTTGGATGGGAAATTAGTAAGTTGTCAATCAAAGAAACAAACGTGCATTCTCTTATCCACAGCTGAAGCCGAATACATTGTAGCTACATCTTGTACATCACAAATAATCTGGATTCAAAGTCAGTTGAGGGATTATGGTTTAAGCGTGAAAATAATTCCCTTATATTGTGATTCTGAAAGTGTGATTCGTATTGGTCATAATCCGGTTCAACATTCAAAGACAAACATATCGCATTACGATATCACTTTTTCAAAGACCGTGTTGAAGATAGGAATGTTGAAGTGCATTTTGTTCGTTCTGTAGATCAATTAGCAGATGTTTTTACCACAGCCTTACCTGAAGCATCTTTTAATCGCATTCTTCAAGGATTGGGTATGATGGAGGTAGATTTGGTTACGATTTCTATCGCAAAATAAGGATGCAAAAAGTTATTGTTTAATTGCGACTGACTGCGATCAGTCATATTGGATCGCAATAGAATGATACTGCGAACGGTAACTGTTCAATTGCGACTAACTGGAACGGGTAAATTTTCTTTGTTCGTAGTTATAATGTTTACTGTTCAACTGCGACCGGTTGCGATCGATCGCAACGAGTCGTATTCTGTTTTCAAATTTTTATAAAATTTTCAAAATCCAAAAATATTTGTTCTTTTATAAAATTTTCAAAAATCCAAAAATGTTTTCTCTTTTATAAAATTTTCAATAATCCAAAAATATTTTATCTTTTATAAAATTTTCAAAAATCCAAAAATAATTTTATTTTGTTGAACATTAATATGTTCTAGGATGTAACCTTCACATTTCATCAATTTCTTTCGTTCATATCTCACATTGACTTCACAATAACCCTTGATGATTCATGTATATGGTCTAAGGTTATTAAAATTATGTGTTCATGATTTTGAGGTCATTCTTCCCATGATCTTTGTGAAACCCAAAATATCCATTTATCAAAATGAATTGACGGATTATTCAACCATGATTTTTATTAACCCTTGACATTCCGAGTCTATACCAACTTGGGATTATGTTTTTCGAAGATCGTTTTTATGATCAATTTCATTGTCACCATGAAATTGTGAGAAACTCGTTGTCCATCTTCTTATCTCATATTTATTTCACTTTGCACACACTATGACACATATCCGAAGACATCTCTTGTCAGAAACAACTAGAATATAGGTGTGCCAAAACTATGTATTTATGATCTTAACATTATTATCACCAAATTGTTCTAGTTTTAGCTCTCGAATTTACGGATCTTCCCAATGTTCAAAATCTCACAATTTTTAATGATGACAAACCTTAATGAAATCAATTGATTCCAGATCATTTTTGCCATATAGGTTCAATTTTCTTTTTCTTATTGTGAGATTTCTGATTGAACATTACTTTCTACCTTGTTACTTAAATATCACTCAAAGCCTATGATTACTTGAATTTGATTACACTGATCAATCAAGTGTTTTCTTTCGTATTATTGCACTTATTTTAAGTTGCAAATATGATTAGAAACAAAACCTACCAATTTAGCCTTATGAAAAGTAGCCCTTCGTGACTTCTTAACAAGTTGACGATTGTAATTCAACGGGAAACCATACAAACACTTCTTAGTCTCTCATGACTGTGGAGGAGTAGAATCATTTCCTAGTATCATATCACTCTCATATCAAATAATTTTGATATCACAAGATTTCCAATTTTTTTTTTTACTTTGATTCTCTCTAATGACAAGATTCTACCAAGTCTAGTTTTTGATTCTAGTCATTCTTCTCGTGATTAGATGAAACTCTACTTTAGCCTCGTTCTATTTGAAGATGATGTAACACTGGTCGTAATTCCAATGGACACTATTTCATTTTTTAGAAAACTAAAGGGTGGATTCAGTCGTTACGAAACTACTGCAAACTGAAATGACATGTTTCTTTTATTACGAACAATTGCGATCGATCGTAGTGGATCCTAACTGGTTACTAATCTGATGTGACAAGGACATCAATGAGAAAGCTTGTTCGTAGTTTTCACTTTGTAACGCCCGATATGTCAGGTAAACTCTTAGCATCTTACTTTCTTTATTGTTGCCTTAAGGAACCTAGTACGCTGGGCATACATAAGGTACGTCGTGCGTACTTCGATGAATTGCATGAGACGGAGTAGCCCACTGGTAAGCTGGGCGTACCCATTCGTACGTAAGGCGTATGTCAGTTAGGGGAAACACTAATTTTTAAGGTTATCACCCTATTTAAACACCTTATGTCCCCAAAGCTTTCACCTTATTAGCCTTCATTGCCTCTTTTGAGCTATATCTCAAAACCTTAACCCATTTCTCAAGAGATTGAACCTTGTGTGTGTGGTACTCTTTGAAGAATAAGGAGACTTGTAGAAGAGCATTGATCAAGTGGGAGCTTGTAGATCTAGAGGTTATTCACTCTTTCCAGCTTATTGGAGGTATAAAGCTTCTATCTTGATGACTCTATGTAACGCCTAGTTCCTGCTTGTGGAAGAAGAAGAAGATAGAGGGCTCAAGAGGGAAGGAGTAGATCCAAAAACTACACATTATTTGCTATACTTTCTGGTAATCAAGTCTCTAACTTGATCATTCATTCATTAGATCTACTTACTTCCATTTTTATGAGGGTTTTGGTTCAAGAACCTTGGTCTTTGGGATTTGGACGTCCCAAGTGACTTACATTTCAGATCTGGGATCTAGAAGGGGTTCCATGGCATAAAGGTGTAAACTTTATGACCATGGAAGCCCCATGCAAGCATAAAAACGTTATTATGGCCTTTTTAGCCCTAAAAGGCCATGCATGGAAGGAAATCTAGGAACTTTACGTGTCCAACTGATGTTCAAGGCCTAGATCTAGTATAATGTGCTTTGGTTTAGAGT